AAAGTTTTGGCCTCCTTGCTCGAGTGGATGAAACGCGGCCCGCTCTGCTGTCAGCAGGCCAGCTCCCGCCCCGCCTCTGCCCCGGGCCCGGCCAGGCGGACGTTCCGTTGGAAGGTGTCAGGCTGAGGAGGCAAGGGAGTGCTTCCAGGCCAAGTCCCGCTGCCCCTGGCTTGCCACCCCGGAGCCTGGGAAGGGGAGCCGCGGGGGAACGCCGCGAGGTTGAGGCGTCGGGCCCCGCCCAGGAGCACGTGTGATGGTAATTTAGTCCCCGGGAATCTTTCCAGTAGATGAAGAGAAAAAGAGCAGAAGCAGGGTGATGTCTGAGGCAGCCTCGTTTTGCTGGTGAAAGGGAATTGTAAAAGTGCCCTCTCCCTTCCCCACGGTAGTGTCGACACCTTTCTTTTTCTGGTTTCCCCTCGAGTCGTTGATTGTTCTCTTCCCTAGAGCAGTTCAGCGGGTGGAAACGTAGCGAGGGCATTGGCAGCTTTTACCTTGGCATCATCCAGCCCTGCTGAGAGGCACTCGACACACAACAGCGGTAAAAATGCTGGCAGAGGTAACGGCCCCGCTCGTGCTGGCTTTCCCATCGCTCCCGCCGCCAGACGGAGGGAAGCCGTACGCTGCCGAGGCTGGGGTTAGAGGAGTCAAAGAGATTGTGAATCCTCAGAGGCGTGCGTGTTGCCGCTGGCTGGCTTTCAGCGATGGGGGATTGAGCTGGGCTCTGACAAGGCAGCAAATCCGGAGCTGCCGAGCTGGGGAATGCTCTGAAGCGCTCTCTGCAATCGGGCTCGTTGAGCTGCTGCAGCTCTTCTCTGCGCCAAGCGGTGTTTCTCTTTTGGATGGTTGTGGCGTTAAACGCTTCAGCAATAAAGAGGCTTTGTTGTGGTCTCTGCAGCATTGCTTTTGCCTTGGCTAGCAGCAGCCTTTTTGTTTGAATAAATGCCTTCTCTGGATTTGGCTGTGGGGGCATGTGGGGGCACGTGTGTGTGCCTTTCCTTGTGGGTGTACATTGGACACAGCTGTGAACAGGCAATTCTGGTAGGTTCATGCCTTGCCCAAACTTGTTGTTGTTTGTGCGTGCCAGAACACTGTGCTTTTCCTCACAGTTGGGTATGCTGGCCACTGTCGCAGGCTTTTAACAGCGCTTGAGTGAAATTAATGGCTGCTTTCCAGCTACAAGCAGAAAATGTTGCTAGCACCTGGCTCAATCCTGTATTTAGTCTTGGGAAGTCATGGGCATTCGCTGCACCAAAGGCAGGACCAGGCCATACAGATCCTGGCTGGTCTGTGCTGTGGAGGGGCTGCAGCCGGACAGCAGCGGCCTCCCCGTCGTGCTGCAGGGACCAGCTCACACACAGCAGTGTTCTGTATAATGCATGAGTGAAGGTCATACAATGACCTGTTCCTTTGGAGCTTTGTAATGTATTTCCTTTGGCACAGGTATCCGGGTTAGTTCCACCTAAGTTTCAGGGGGATCAGTTCAAGCCCGCTACAGGCTGGTAATAGAAACACAAAACTCTCCAGCTTTTCCTCATCTTCCTCCCGTTTATATCTCCAGGGTTAAAACCCAGTCCAGAATCCCCAGACCAAATTGAATTAGAATTTAACATTCAAAGATTCAGGCTCCCTTTGGGCTCTAAGGAACAGAATGTCATCCTGTCTCGCAGTTAATAGCTGCTGGGTAGTCGTTTCAAAGCCATTTCTTTTCAGCGAGCTCTACCATAGCAAATTCCAGCAGTGAATGTATTTCTGGCCTGGCCGTGCCTCTAATCCCACAGCTGAGTCTTACGTGTGATCTCCTTTGAAATGCTAGATCTATATATATTTTTTTCTTTAAATTCCAGACAGCGATATTTCTAGGACTTGGCATTTAGAGGGGCAACAGGGTAGTTTAGAGGGAGAGAAGGGAAAGGACGGAAGGAGGATGTTGACCTAGCAGCCCTACAAACCTACCGGACTTAATCCACTTATCTCTCTGAATTCCTGAAGCAGATAAATGCTGATAACAGTTAAAACACATCACTGACAGGAGCAGCATGTTCTGTCCTCTAGAAATACATCAGTGCTGGAAATTGCAAAGCTGTGCGCTACCATGGGGATGAGTGTGATATAAGAGCCGAGGAAGCCCTCTGTTCAGCAGTTCTTCCGCAGAAGGGTAGGAAGCCCCTTGCCCCCTTCTCCCTCCCTGCCTCAACTACCTCAAGATGCCGTTCAGGCCTGAGAAACGCTGCCAAGCACTGTTGTAACCCCACAGCCCCCCAGTGCCACAGCTGCCTGATCTGTACCTACATATCTGCAATACCAAGTGGGCCCCAAGTGTCTTGTTACTGCTCTTGATTGTCCTTGCTGCTTAGCGTTAAGACCTGCAAGGAGCGGTTTCCAGCTGAGACCAGCCCCGCGCAGCTCACGTCAGTGTGTCTTGGGGAGAGGAGTTGGTTTTGGCTAATCTGAGCTAAACCTTCCCTGGAGGAGTGCAGCTGCTGCACCAGCCTTGCAGAGCCACACAAAGCCACTTGCTTCTCTCTCCAGCTGTCGGGGCTCTCAGCAAGGTACCAGAGCCGTCCCCAGGCTCGGGGGGCCACAACGGCCGCAGCTGCGTGCTGCCCCCTGTGTCAAGACCCCTTCCTGAGGACCTGTCCCAGGCCGAACAGGAGGAAAAATGCTGTAAAGCAAAGGTTGCTTTGGGGCAAAGCTCGCTCCTACGAACTCTGGAGGATTGAAACAACCAGCAGAAAGAGATTTCGACTACGCGCAGTTTACAAGCTCATTTACCTTCTTGGGTCTTTCTCAGCACGGCCACCAGTCTCCACAGCCCAGCACCACGTGCGAGCAGGCGCCCTTGAAATTGCAGCAAGGTGCTTTCTTGTGGAGGGTGCCAGCGCCTCAGCAGAAGTGTGAAAGGAGGAAGCTGCCTAGAGAGAAGTGAAGACCTCTCAGACATCAGGGTGATTTTTTTGAGTTGGGCGCTGCTCAGCTGTTGCATTGCAGATGTCTTAGCTTAAAACAAGCTTTCGTCAAAATCAAAGACTTTTCATGAGTATAGGCAGCAGGATCCTCCCACAAAGAGGTGGTCGTCTTCTTCCAAGGGCTCTCCTTAGCTTGCTTGCCTGCACTGCGAAGCTGATTCAGAGCCAGCATCCTGTGGATCTGAAACACTGCAGCCGTTAGGGCTGAATCCGCTGTCTGGTTGTTCGCACTTCTGGAATACGAGTGCCCTCCCCCACAGTGGCCTAGTGGAGGAGTTGGCTGTGGACGGGAGTTCTGTGCAGTCAGGAGGACAGCGGAGCCGTTCCTCTGTATCACCTGCTGGCGTGGGAACTTCTTTTTCATGTTGAAGGCAAAACATGTGATCCCACACTGGAGTGTTCACATAAAGGAGTTTGATGGTGCTGCTCTGCCCTGTGCCCACACCCTTGACGCTGCTCAGTAGCTGCCCCATGTGAAGAAAGCACTCAATTGTGATAAAGTAAGGTGCACTTATTCCCAAATCTGGATGGTCTGTGCAATGAGGTAATCAGGAATAGCTGTTTCAAAACAACTGTGTAAACAAAGCCTTGCAGAATTATGGTAAAAATCCCACTGTGCCACTTACAAACTTGCCCATTGCTCCAGAGTCAGTTGAATCACTCGCTGAATTTGACCTGGCTGCGATCTGCATCAGGCCAAGCACTTTTTTTCCCATATTCCAACACAGGGCTTCGGTCACTGTGGGAGGTGACAAAGTTTTCTTTAAGTGGGCGTGATTTTTTGTGGTCATCAGGAGACAGCTCTGTGCGTTAAAGAGCTTATGGTCTCATCTTTGGACACCCCCTGGTACGTGTGACACCGTCAGTAGTACAGAGAAATGAACCCGGGCGCGGGGAGGAGTCTGCCTGAAAAGCAGAAGAGCCTGCATCTGCCAGGAACGGCTTGCCAAAAGCAGTGTGTGCCCATCCTGCCCCTCCCTTCACAAACCCGGGGGGGTGACACACCAACCAGCTGCTCGGGAGTGGAAATACCTGACAAACCCCCATCTCTCCTGCCTTTTGGAGCTTCGTGTGTGGTTGCCTTTTTACAGCCTTTGACCCCCGTTATGGCCTCTAATCTAAAAGTCATCTTCCTCTTTCTTTGGTTGCTTCAGCGTGGAGGTAAAGACCCGTTTTTTTATTCCTTTTGTTTACTCTCACGTTTGTTCATATTAGAGCATTTCCAGCTGTTATCTTTTGCTAATTTCCAGAGATCCCCTCTAGGAATTTGCACACTGCTGCTATTTCTGTCTTTTTAAGCATTTCAAAGCTGAGATAGAGAATCCTCAAGAAAGGGGGAACATGGGAGGAGGGTTAGATAACCTAAATAAAATGGTTTGCCTTTTTCCCTGGTACGTGTTTCTCAAGCTTATGGCTCCTGGGATACTGTAAGAAGATGGATCTCTCCCCTGTTTTGTTACAGCAGTGCTTTGCCATGTCCCGTATAGAAACTGCATTCATGTGTGTTCTGCTGGGTGGAGATGAGAAAAATGATGAATGATTTTAGAAGAGAAGGCCTAGAAGAGACCACTGGGGTTATCACTTCGCCAGTGTCTGCAGGATTTTCTGTTGCTGCCTTTCCGTACTGTTGTATCTGGTGTACACAGGCCGGCGTGCTCACAGCAGAGCACATCCCTTAGGGCTGTCCTGTATCTCAGTCGCGTTTACAGCTAAGCACCTTTTTCTGCTCTTCCTTACTCGCAGGCTATTGTCCCTGGCTGTGTCATTGGTAGAGGGTTTTCCTTAGCAGATCTTACTTCCCAATGGTCCTTCCTGGCCAGTGACCATGCCCTCCCTCCGTTATTGTCCCCCACAAGGCTTTCGCAGTGCTCAGCAGTCAGCAGTGCTAAGTCCGAGTTGCCTTTTCCGACGCCGAGTCCCGCTGTGCTGCTGTTGTGATGCAGCACTAGGGCATGATGACAGGAAAGCGAGCCAGGCTGTGCTCTGGGACAGCTTTAATGCCTGTTATGAGCCTGTTCATAGATGCAGAACCCCAGGGAATCCCATCAAAAGCGTGAGTGGAAAAGCCTGCCCATCCCCTACTTTCTCTCTCTGTTTTTTCCCCCTTTCTACTTTCATGTCTCCGAAAGAAGCCTTCATTTTTTAAGACGACTTGTAAGTTTCCAGTTCCCTTTTTTAAAGACGAGGATGGTTTGCACAGGCCTCCTCTCAAGTTGCTTCCTATGCGGTGTTACGTCATCAGCCAAACAAATAGATCAGGAGACTGCCTGACCTTAAACCCAGCTATGGCTGGGAAGCCAAAGAGGTCCTGTACCCCAGGCTCCTGACTAGCCCGTGGCTCACTCTTAGCTTTTACATTTTTGTATGAAACCAAACAGGGAGCGAATTGTGGTGTGGTTCCCCATCTGCACTTATTCTTCTAACTCCTAACATCCCTGTGTACTGAATTGCAGCGACGGATTGCTTTAGCAGCCCTGTCTGTAAGGAGGAGGCGCATGAAGGGCATGATCCCCCGTCTCTGTGCCTGAGATACTGTCACGTACTGGTACTTAAGATCTGCAGCCTCCTGCAGATAGTTCACGTATCTAGCATCCAGTCTTGTGCTTTGCCGCCCATTCATGGCAGCAAAAAGTCGGAGCGATTAAGCTGTGTCTTATTTCTCATTGCCCCAGTGCTGGCCCCCGTGCAGAACGTGCAATTTCCTTCCTCGCTCGTGCTTCAGAAATACGCAGTCCCACTGATAACACCTGCTTGCGTACAGCACCTTCCCCGGTGCCGAGTCATCACGTGGACATGTGTAGGTGCCCAAGCAGAGGTTTCTAACTCAGGAGTTTCAGGAGATCTCCAGCTTGTGTTTGTCTTGGAAAACCACTTGCTGTTCATCCGCTGTAAATATGGTCTCACACCACTGCAAAATCAGTTCACTTCCTGCTTAATTTCCTGTCTCTCTGTGTGCTGGCGTTGTACGGAGGAGCTCACGAGGGAAAAAGGGGAAGGCTGTGAATGCAATGGTCTATCGCAGATCACACAGCAGTTACCTAAGAGATGTGACAGATCACACGGGGCACATGCTCGGAATCACTCTGTTTCTGACCAGCGCCAACACTGCGTGATACAGGTGTGCTTCCTGACATACGGTTGTTTTCACTCTGTGATCCTGTCTTTGGGGCAGCAGTCCTCTCCTGACTGAAAGTGATGTTAGGTGGCTGCTAACAATTATTACCCTTACAGGGGGGCATGTCGATGTGCAGCAGGAACCTCCGATCCAGGTTGCACTGCTCGAGGAAAAAACATCCATCCCCTGTAAGGTCTCCTTCCCTTACATGCTGGAATACACCAATTTTTCAATCTTCTATTACTGGATTAATTCACTGGACCAGAAAACATACATCTCTAGTAGGAAGAATGTCCATATATCCATCCCTCCTGGAAAAGAGAGTAAGACTGCTACCATACATTACAACCTCAGTATCACGCTACACAAAAACACCTTTTCTACTGGAACATACTACTGCAAAGTCAAATGGAATGACGTCCAGAAAATGGGAAAGGGAGTGTTTGTCCTTGCTAGAGGTAAGTGAGCAACCAGAAAGGAGGGGCAGGCAGTTAAAAATCAGCTGGATCTGGCTACAAAAAGATGATCTTTGTGCTTCTTTTCCTCTACCCAAACACGCTATGAAGTCAGGGGGGGAATAATACCTTATGCCCAATACTTGAGGCCATCAGAGTTGAATGTGCGTTACATGCATGTTCCTCATGCACGGACAGGGACATGAAGGTGCAGTAATTTTTATCTGCCCTGCCACAGCCTCCTGGGAAGAGCAAGCTTAATGTCAGGGTCTAACTAGGGAGCCTGGGTGCTGGGTTGGAGCGTGCTTTTAGGTGTCAGCGTTCAGGAGACAGGTTTGGCCTTTAGAAGTGTGACGGAGATGACTGAACACAAGGTCAGTGGTTAGGGTGCTCGCCGTAAAGCTCACCGTGCTTTTCCATCTGGCACAAGGGGTTGGTTGTTCCCTTAACGTGCAGACTGGAAAGTAAGGGAGAGCTTCAGGTCATGATAAGAGGGATGTGACAGAAAAGTGATAAGGACATGCACGCTGCTGACTGGCTGGATTTGCATTACTGAATGCTGGATATGAAAAACTTCTTAGAAGGCGTAAATGCAAAGAGCTGTGATGAGGGAGCTTTGTTACGCTGGTCAGAGGATGCCTACAGTGCCCACCCTGCTAGTTTGTGTGGCCTGTGTGCTTTCCACAATTTGTCTTTCTGCCCCTATCACTAAAGACCTCTGCCAGCCTCTACCTACCATCTTGCAGTTATGCCACCTCCATCTAATCTACATGAAGTGCAGCTGCTTATGTCCTGTCTCTTCGCATGATTCTGCAGCTGCACCCTGCCCTCTGTTCAGTCAGACTAGGTTTAGAAGGGTGTGTGCATCTGTGCCACTGTATTCTGCCCTGCTTCTGCATTTTAGCTCTCTCAAGGCTCTTTCCAGAGTTGAAAGTGCAGCACACTCTCACGCTGTGAATCTTTTCCTTCTTTCTTACAGGCACAGGGTATGTAGAGACCTCTGATGGGTGGGAAATCCTCGTTACCTTTACTGCTCTTCTTGCTGCTCTGAGCATCACCGCAACCGCTCTGCTTCTGTGGAAAAGAAAGGCAAGTTACAACCAAATAAAAAGCAATACCTGACACAACCCATTCTAGAAATTTATTTCACTTGCTTCTAACTTGGCTGGATTGGAAGTCCCCATGCTGAAATTTTCCATGCTGGGCGTCTGCCTCAGGTTTATTTTTTTAAGTTCAGACTTTCTGGAAAAAAGAAAAAAAAATATGGGAAAGACAAAAAGGGTCATTGATTTGTCCATTAAAGAAATTCTGGTAATCAGTTTGACTCCGGCATGCCCTGCTTTAGAGCAAGGATCTGGCGCAGGGCAAGAAGTCACTCTAGCAGTGTGCTGGCCCTCAGAATATTCAAGGAGATGTGGCTGTGTGACGGGTTTTTGGAAAATTGCAGTTTGTCCGTGCTCGGTCGTGGCTCTTGTCAGTTCGGCAGCTCAGCTGCCTGACGGGGCCCCTGTGAGGCTGCCCTTCCACACGGTGCCAAGCAGACAGGTAACGTCCCGTGCAAGTCCGCTGCAGCCCAGATGAGTGAGAGGGGAAGGTCAGGACGAGGAACCCAAGGAAGCCTGTGTGGAAGTGCCAACTAATTGGAAAAAAAAGAGAGAGAGACAAGGACCTGAGGAGCAACCTGCTTTAGTTCGCTCAGCTTTGAGCAGAGGGGGATTGGACTATACAATCTCCAGAGCCACCTTCCAGCAGCAGCAATTCTGTGAGGCTGGAAGAAGGGGCCTTGGGAGGGAAACTGGGACTGGAATCCAGAGGGAGAAAGCACTGGAGCTTGGAGGAGGGTGTTAAGATGGGGCTGACAGGGCCCTTCAGGTGAGCAGACAAGTGGCACAGGTTGGGACCAGCTGGGTAAGGAAGTGAAAGCTGAGGCCAAAGGGGAAACCAGGAGCAGGGAAGAAAGGATGTAGAGAGTAGGAGAAGAAAAACCAAAAGGAGGGCTGAAAGATCTGGATGAGACAGGAACCCTGTGGAAAAAACCTTTGGAGTTGTGATACTGGAATTGCTGTTGTTTGGGGAAAACCTACTGCTCCTAGTACTGCCACCCTCAGGCATGCAGAACAGCATCCTCTGCATTCTTCCAGAGGTCTCAAGGCTGGCTTAAAAAACCCTGACATCTTTTACAGTGTGATCTGGGGATTGTTGCAGAGTATCCCCCATATTTACTCTTGCAACTTGCCCTCTGCCACCGTGACAGCAGACTCTCTGCACACATTGTTATGTGGGGGCTGTGCTTCTGGTACAGTCCTGTGACTCCAAGGAGCATCAGGCTCCAGCGCACACAGTCAGAGAGCATGAGGTTGGAAACGGAACGGCAGCAGTCGGCAGGGCTGCTAATCTCGTGAGGCTTACCTCGCCGGCAGTCTGATGGAGGGGGAAGGCGTGTAAGCGGCAGAGTGACTAGGCTGGAGACAGGCCCCCATCTCTGCTTGCCTAGACAGTGTCTCCATGGGGATGAGGAGAGAGGCATTGTCACGACTTGCTGATTGGCATCTCCAGGTTTTGGGGTGGGCCAGCAAGTCTCAGACCTGCAGGCTCTCCTTGGGGCCCAAAGAGTTTGTGCAGTCGTAACATTTGCCCTCCTGCAGAACCCAGCCCGTAATTCTCACCACAGCTTGCTCAGACCTGCTGGTTTAAAAATGTTTATCTTTAAGAGAAGCTATTTAGCATCCTCCTTAGTTACTAATGGACTGGAAAGCAGTTCATCGGTTTCATGTGATGTGAATATAATCATCCCACTTCTTTCCGAATTAGAACAGAGATACTTAGCAAAGCCTTCGCCTTTCCTGCCTCCTCTCTTGCTTGCTGAGCAGGGCTAACCCTTATCTGTGCACGAATGGAGCATGTTCAAGGAGAACTCATCCAATGCAAGAAACGTTTCAGAGGAAGAGACCTTCCTTCCAACTCCATGCTAGACTTGCACACTATGTGTCATCATTAATGGTCATCTGGTGCTCTTCTCTAGACTGTGTGTGTTAGCAAAAGCTTCCTAGCCAAATCCTGACAAAAGCCACTGCATTGTGCCTCGCTGAAATTCCCACACGCACTTTGAAGGGGGCCCTGCTTTACTTCCTGGCCTACAGCACTGTTGTGTGCTGTTAAATACTTACACCCTCCATCCAGCTAAGTTTCAGTGGTGGAAGTGATTTCTGTGTGTGCACAGAGCCCAGTTCTCCTTTTCACTGCTCCGGCTTAAAGCATCAGACTCCTCTGTTTCACCCTGTGGCGAGGAAGGGGACTGGCCACATCATGCAGAGGGTGTGGAAGCACTCAAGGGGTGCGCGAGGCTTTGACACGACATTGGTGTCCACTTCATCTTTGGGGAGATGTGTAATTTTGTGCCTTGTTGTCAGCAGGTGGTGTGCCCTAGAAGGAACCAGCTCAATTTCCTGAGACAGAAGGTGGAAACGCAGTCCCCTTCAGCCGGCCCACCTCCACCACCGCCACCACCTCCTGTCTATGACGTGAGTATCAGAATAATCACCCTCCGTCCTTTCTGTCCACATCACAGTCCAACTCTGCCTTTCCCTGCCCTGGTACAGACACCACCAGTACCACGATGCGAAACATGAGCAGTACCTGCATACCAGCCTGGTACTGGTGACCTTGCTCCTGTGCTCTGCCCTGCTTAGCTTCTCTCGGGACTGTGCATGTTGCGTGTCTCCATCCTGCTCCCACTCGTGCCCCTCCAGTGCCAAAGCCATGCATGGTGCCCCGCTGGGCAGCACCCTTCCCTCTGCCAGCAGTGTGGCAGCACAGAGTAGCAAGTGTGGGGCCAGAGAGGGCTCCTGATGCAGAAGTCAGGAAGGAAGAGGGGATCTCAGCCCCACTGTGTACTGTGGAGTGTCTCAAGGACATGCCCTCCCCCGCTGGAGAATGACAGCTCAGGGAAGGGGCAGAGAGAAGTGCTCCCCACAACCACCCCAGCAGTTCAGAGCTCCTGCTGTGACACCTTCACCCGTGTCAGTGTCACGGACCACTGCAGTCCTGAGCAGGCTGACTAGCTCTCGGCGGGAAAAGGGCAGGAAGAAAGTGACGGGAGTCTCTTTTTTGGAACATCTCCCTTTTGCATAGGAACTCCTTTTTCCACTTCCCAAACTGGGGAATGCCAACTGCTCGCACTCCCTGAGCCCAGTAGTGGCAGCGTCATAAGTAATGGGATTGAAGTGGCTCTCCTGAAATATCAGGCCAGACCTCAGCTACCCCAAGTAACCATGACCCCTAATCCCATTTACAATCCATCCAGCTCCATTTTAAAGGGATTTCTTTTCCTCCTTTTACTCCTATGGGAGGGCTCTTCCACTCAGAAGGGAAGGCGTTTTTTTCCCCATGACCTGTGGGACAAACAAGAAGGAATAAAATGAAAGTGAGTAGAGAAGGATATTGCCTGAATATTAGGAAACCTTTCTGACTGCGAGGTCTGTAAGGGCTGGAATAGTCTCTCCAAGGAAAACCCGTAAGCTCTGCTGCATGAATCATTTAAACTAAACAAAATGAAGCTCTGGAGAATGTACTACAGAGAGGAGCAAAGCTCTGCCAGGGAGGCAGGAGACCTGACAGCGGGTAGATATGTAAAAGAGGATGGGCCTGCTCCCTTCTCGTTCTCACTTGGTGGGTGGGGGACACTGGCGGCCCTTCCATCTCTGGGGTAGAGATTTAAAAGGAAGCACTACATATTCTGTGTGATATGTTTATTCTGGGCAAAAGCAATGCTTTGGGTAAAGGAGGTTGCAGGTTATAAACCTTTTCATTTGTATCAAGTAATTTCTTTTTAATTCGGGCTTATAAAAATCCGAATGGGTAGTTGCCTGCTGAAGTGGATGATTTCTGCAAGGAGACAAAAAAAAAATCAAATCCATTTCTCGCTCAGTCGGCCTCGTCATGCATCCTTAGCTCCATCTTAATTACATGTTTCATCATGTTGTTCTGTTCAGGAGGCCCCACTAAGGCTAATACAGCAAGGCAGCAGAGCCAGCCTTAGGCACACGCAGTCCCAGGAGCTGTATGGGCCCCTGTGCTTGCGGGAGCCCGATGGACCTGGCCCAGCTGGCCTTCCCGCAAAGCCTGTCCACCACACACCGGCTGTGCGGGGACCTTAGCCAGCCCGGCGTGCGGGGCGGGCGGCTCAGCCCTCTTTGGCAGACCTGCCAGCAGCCTCCAACCATCTCCTGCGTGCTGGGGGGTAGCCGATGCCCACTGGAGGGTACGTTACCGTGGAGCAGCTGCTGCGGGATGACTGGTTCGGGCATGAAGCAGCAGCTCCCACAGACACCACGGGTGGTGAGAGCAGGGCTGCGAAGTGCGGAGGGGGAAGCATAGGGCTGTCAGGTGTGACAAGGAAGTTAATGGGGAAGAGAGGGTGAGAATCCTGGGACGGAGATGCTGCATTGGACAGGCCCTTGGGACAGGTGAGGGGAGTGGAATGTTGACAAACCTTATTTCCTTTGAAAGATGACTCTGGTGCCCCACTGCTAAATTTTGCTGTGACTCTGCATGGTGTAAACCCAGCGCTGCAAACTGTGTTTGAAATTCGGTGTGCTGTGAAAATCTGTTGGTGTCAAATGGGGTGTTGAACACTCAGTGCTTAATTCATGGGGAGGGCAGAAAATCTGTGGTTGGCACTGGGGGAAGCTAAGGCAAGGGAAAGGGAAGGTCAAGGGAGAAGTGACTCCAGGTGATGAGATAAAGAAGGAGGTCAGGGATTAGGGGACGGGACAGGAGGTCAACATGTGCCAGATGTGCTATCTGGGTGGGAAAGCAAGAGCTCAGAGGCTGGAAGAAATTGGGTCAGGGAACCACGGTGTTCTTGCAGGCCTGGACCTGGGAGCAGAAGCAACAGGAGGCAGCACTGGACATCAAAGTAAAGGCTTCAAGTGGCTGGTGCAGCTCATTAAACGCTCTGTGTCATCCTGCACAGCAGCAAGGCTCACCCCTGTCACGGGAAGGGTCCTAGCACGCCTTCTGCAATAACATCCTTAGGAGCACATGCCTTCCCCACTGGCTCTGCCAGGTGCCACCAGTTACCTTGTAGTCTCCGGGGTGGGTGTATGCAGTGAAAAGCAGCCGGTAGCAAAAAACCCGGGTAATAAGGGTGCAGCTGGGTACCCACTTTGTTCCTACTACACTGCCAGGTGTTCCTTGACCTCTTTGTCTTCCTGCAGTCCCGGAGCAGCTCTATCTCACTGCACTGCTCAGAGCCAAACCTGGCTTTTCCTGTCTCCCAGCTTAGCTCCCTAGTTAACTAGCAGCTGGGAAATACCCATCTGAGGGACTTGCTTCATCTGCTTTACACTTCAAACAAGCTTTTTTGAGAAGCAAACAGAACTCCTGTGGTGCAGGCAGGTTCCAGAGCACAGGAGCTTTTTCCTGGTGGGAGGGAGACAAGGAGACTGCTTGAAGATGGGAAGGCATCTGCCAGCAGGGAGGAGAGAGGCCTGTGTGTCTCCACTGTGACAGTAGCAGGTGGTCAGTGACCAAGTAAAAGTAATTAATTTGCAAATGGTGGTTGGAGACACCAGCTTTCCACTGGCCAGCAACGGAGCAGCATTGTCAACAGCCTCATGGGAAGAGGGAGAGAGTCTTTTTGAGATGTTAAGCTTCAGACTAGAGCAGTGAAAAAGGCCACCTGTCCTGCCAAGGGGACGCGGAGCCAGGCTGCTGGGAGCACAGCACGTGGGACGAGGTCCTCACTGCGAGCATCACACAGAGAATTGACAATGAGGATGGGGAAATGGGATTTTCTGTGTGCGCACGTGCACATGTGAATAGTTGGGAATGTCTGTGTAGGCAAGTGTGTTGTTGGGAGTGGGAAGCAGACAGGTGAAATAATTTGTTGCAGGAGGAGTGGGAATGGGAGAGCCGTGTGGTGCTCCGTTTATTGCAGCCCTCTCTTGTCCGAGTGCCTGTTTTGTTCCAAGTCCCGCTCCCAAATGCTGTTCCTTTATCATCTGGTCCTGTTCAAACCACCGTCCTGCTGGCCATGATCCCAAAAGGTGCCGAGCGTTTGTAACTCCGGATGAAATGTCGGTGGTTCAGGTGACTGGCAGCCCCAGAATCAAGCCCCCCCTGTTTCACTCGTCCCTTGCAGGGCGCCTGGCTCCCTTTGCAGTCTCTCCACTAATACCATCTGCCCCTCTTGCGGCCGAAGCTCCTCCCATCTTCCTGTTGCCAGAGAAACAGCCACCTTGGCAACCTGCTGTCATCCTTGAAACACACATGGAAAAGTCCTCCTGATTGTTATGTTTGATCCTTCAGGCAGATCTGGAACATCACTCAAACTGACACGCATCTCCTGTGACACGATTACCTGTGGGACCAGCGGGTGCATGTAGGGAGTGTGTGTGTGTTTCTCCGTGTAGCTGTGTGGGACCATGGGCCTGGGAGTGTATCGATTTTTTTTTTTAATTATTCTTTGCTCACTCTAAGAAGAAAAGAGAGTTCTGGCTTGGAAAAAAAACCAGACAACAAATAGAAATCATGCCAATATAGGGTTTCCCATTTTCAACAGCCCCCATGCTTCAGGCCTTCAGCCTCGCCCCTCTTCTCACCTTTGTGTGCCCAGAATGACCATGAGCAAGAACTTGTGGGTGTCAGGCACCTAAACAGTCCTGGGCAATGCAGAATGCTATCCGTTACTTGTGGTCCACAATATCCTTTCAAGTGGCAGAGGGGTCGTCATTCGACATTCTGAGACAATTCGGAGCGGAGGGAGGCAGGAACATGGGCATTCTTCTCCACTGCCTTACACAGGGTAAGTAATGTCAAAGCCAGCCTCTGTGAGCCTGAAAAAGGAAGATGATGCAGCTGCACTGTAGAGATTTCAAGGGAAAATCTTCTGTTCGCCCAAGTTCAAGTCAGGAACTTCAAAATTTTGGAGATGGCAGGGGTTCCTAAAAAATATCAGGCACGAGATGGGGAACAATATGGTAGGCAATTAGTTGTCTCAAACCTGAGTAATTTATTTGACTCCTACTCTCTTCTCTCTTCCCTGTGCAGTGCCTGGATTTGCAGCAAGTTGAGGTCTACTCTACCCTCGAGAATAACACCAACAACCCACCACCCAGAACGAGTACTCCAGGGAAGGTAAGGGTTGGGGCCCTGTTCTTGGAGAGTTCGCTTACACACTGGGCAGCTGCAGAAAGAAAACCCGCACAGTCGCCATGGCCCCAGCAGGCAGTAAGTGTGCCCGCTCTTTCCCCGCTTCCAGTCCCACCAAAAGGGAACACGGGACTTGGCATCCACTCACCAGCTGGGCTTCACATGTAGCCTGTCTTCCCTCTTCCAGCAGAACCCTTGCTCCTGCAGCGCTACCAGCTCTGGCAGTCCTGGTTTCATGCAGGTGCTTTGCTGTAGGACGTACCCCGAAAGGCACTGAGGGGGTTGGTGTTGCTGCTCTCTCTGAATAGGACAGACATTCATGGAGAGCTGGCCAGTTGCTGGCCCCCACTGTTGCCCTTTCCAAATAGTTTATGCAGCTGAGAAGTCCTCCCGGGTAGAGGAATCTGTAGAGGGCAGATCCTGGACATGGTTTGCTCTCACTGGCATTGAGCACCTGAGAGCCATTGCGTGGGAGCAGAAGCTAAGATGGTCTGAACAGAGACTGGGGCTGATGCAGTCTGTCAGCTCTGGGGCTCAGGAAAAGGCGGTGTGGGTACATTTTGGGCTTGGATCTTCTTGCTGGGCTAGGAGTTAGGAGTTAGAGACAAGGAACTAAATTCACTCATAGTGAAAGTAGCTGCAGCTCGGAACAGGCAGGTGCAGATCAGCTGTGAGGGCCATGTGAAGCAGACCAGAGGCCTGCACAACCCTCTGCCCTGCCTTTGGCAGGCATCAGCTGCTTCACAGGCGAAACTTGCATCAGGCACCCCAGGGAACTTTTCCTTCAACAGAACTTTGTTTTTCTTTACCCCTCCAGACCTCTTATCTGCTTAAAATATATATATTCACTCTTCTAATGTTGGAAAATGTTCCTGAAAAGTGTCTCCAGCCTCCTCCCACTGCTGTCCTCTTGGGGAGAGTTCCCCAGGTTAACTGACTGTGCAGCTTCAGTTGGCACCATCCCTCTGTTTCAGGCAGGACAGTGTTTCCAGTGTCTGAGGCATTTTCATAACCCCCACCACTTAGGAAAAGGTGGTCTAAAATCAAGCGGCCCACTCTGCCAGAGCTACTTGCCATGTGCTCTGATCCCAAGGCCACTGGCCTCCTGCAGTTACTGCTGTGTCATAACAAAGGCAGTGACAGACCATTGAGGGCAAGGGTGGGCTATTTAATACAGGCTGGTTTATACCCCAGTGCATCATATGCACTGGAATCACAGAATCATAGAATCTTTTAGGTTGGAAAAGACCTTTAAGATCATCAATTCCAACTTTTAAGCTAGCACTGCTAATACCATCACTAAACCATGTCCTTCAGCACCTTGTCAGCACATCTCTTAAATCCCTCCGGGGATGGTGACTCAACCACCTCCCTGGGCAGCCCGCTACAATGCCTGACAGCCCTTTCAGTGAAGAACTTAGCCTAATATCCAATCTAAACCTCCCCTGGCACAACTTGAGGCCATTTCCTCTTGTCCTGTCACTTGTCACTTGGGAGAAGAGACCAAAATCCACTTCTCGTCACCCTCCTTTCAGGTAGCTGTAGAGAGTGATAAGGTCTCCCCTCAGCCTCCTCTTCTCCAGGCTGAACACCCCCAGCTCCCTCAGCCGCTCCTCACAGGACTTGTGCGCCAGACCCTTCCCCAGCTCCGTTCCCTTCTCTGGACACACTCCAGCCCCTCAGTGTCCTTCTTGTAGTGAGAGGGCCAAAACCGAACACAGGATTCGAGGTGCAGCCTCACTAGTGCCGAGAATAGCATCCTTGGTTTTGTGTTCTTGATGCATTTTGAATTACTTGGGTAGGGAGAACAGCAGGTCTTGATCGCTCTTCCCTGTCCTATTTATTCTTCTGTGTACCTTTATCAGCTGCCCCCTTTGAAATGATCTGGTCTGGGTGATGAGATGCAGTTTATGCTGGTTTTTTCCCTGCTGTGGAACTGTCTGGGCTGTGCTCACACCACTCAACCGCTGCTTTGGGGAGGAGCGGCTCCGTAACAGAGAGCAGGAGGAAAGCAACAAAACAAGAGCAAAGGAGCGTCTGTGTGCAAGCATGTCTGGTGCAGGCAGTCTCTGCCAGGGCCGGGTAGAGGTCGAAGCAGAGATGGGAGAAACAAAGGAGAAGAAAGCAAGGAGAGGGAATGGGACGGGCTCTCACGCCAACAGCAGACACCACCATGTCCTCAGTTCTCGTGCTGGTCAGAAGGAAGGGAATTGTGGGCAGCATGGCCCCAGTATCTCTGCACAGGAGAATTTGGCTGTGCTTTCCACTACTGTTGCAAGCACGTGGATCAGCTTCCCTTGCAGTCATCCTGGGCTGTGACCATCTGGGAGACTTGTGGGTCAGCGGGTTAGGGCTGCGGGTGGGAGCTGGGATTGCTGAATGGTGGCTGAGACTCTGCTGCGGAGGGTGCAGGACAGCCCTTGCTGCGGGATGCTGCACATGGAGGGGGAGCTGTGAAGGGAAGTGGGGCAGAGAGCCCCTGAAACAAGAGCGTGTGCATGCTGTCACGCTGGAGTGTCAGCCAGCTTGGGTAGCGAGGGGTTAATCCCGCATGCTTTGGAGGTGCCTGCACTCAGCACTTTTGAAAAACGTTTGCCTTTGGTGGTGGCAACAGAGAAAATGCTAGTGTAGGTAGGGCTTCAGTCACCCGGTGGCATTTCAGCGCCGTGCTGTGTAACCTTGCTTACAGCAGGCCTGTGCCACACAGCGCTTAAAATATCAGTCTGTCAGCACCTTGTCTACGCAAGGAACGGTTGTGAGGAATAGACTCAACTGTTGAAGAAACAGGATTGAGGAGGTCAGGGAATTCCTCCTTCACAGACTCCAAAGTGATTTATTTTTTTACCAAGTCCAATTTTCCCTCCTCTCCCTGTCTGACAGCTTTTTGGGGGAAGAGAGACAAGTAAAGGAGGCATCTTTATCCCTTGGGCTGGATTAGTCACGTTCGTCTCTGGCAGAGCAACATTCCTCACTGTAGCGGCTTCCGTTTCAGCGGATCACTTATAGCCATTTCTAACAGAACAAACGTCAGGGTCTGCTTATTAAGAATTAATTCATCTTCTGTTGAATAATTTCCCTCAATTTCTTTTTTCTCCTTTTCATCATTCTGCAGTCACCAAAGAAGCAGGCAACTCTGGAAGAATCCTCTGATACACTGTATGAGAATATCTAGGGGAAAATCTGACCCTAGGTGGACCAGACATCTTTCTGTACCGCAGAACTTGTCTCTTACATCCCAAGTCCTCTGCAGAGATGACTTCAGGGCACAACTATGAGGTACTTGTGAACTGGCTCCTCCTAAACTGCCCTTCATTAACAACAGAATGCATCTGTTCAAATCCCACCGGGCTCAATCTGCATTGATGCAGCAAAGCTATTTTGCAGCAAAGCCGTTTGATGCAAAAGAAAAGCTGCTTTTGTCAAGCTCTTACCTTAGAAAAGGTGCAGATGGGATCTGTGCAGGTTTCTCTCACCTGCCCTGCCTGAAATACTTAAATCTCGACCCTCTGTAAACGGAGACCTCCCTGCTTGCTGGCTCTATCTTCCAATCCTGACCTGCAGCAGTCCATCTGATCCTATGCCTACGGCTTTCCTGACATGGCCATCAGGCCTTCATGCATAGTTTAAACGAGATCCAAGCATCCACCTGCCCGTTTTTTCTTTCTCAGGACCCCCACAGCGAAACATGCTTTCTCATAATCTGCTAATCCCATCAAGTAGTCACAGATGCCTGCTGTGACCATACTCAGCCGACTCAAATCAGTGTCTCCCAGGAAATGCTTTCCCTTCAGCAATATCAGCAGTATACGGTGAGGACTGGATGCACAGAGAGAGATAAAGATGGAGAAAAGGAAAACAGAGAAAATACCCCTGCCTGGCACCGTGGCTCAGTGCCCTTTCCAGAAAAAGGAAGAGAAAGAAGGAGGTGGGAATCCAAGGAAACTCCCTTGCTGGGGCTGCGTGAGCCAAGTGTCTCTGGGGCCAGGTTCCAGCAAAGAGAAGTTCAAGCCGAGCTCCCCAGTTTCCTGTTCTTGGCAGTGGGTGTTACCCACTGGGGATTTTGAGCCTCTGGGAGCAGGCACAGTACCTCTGCCCCACCAAACCCAGTAGGTTTGTCTTTGTTCCAGCTGGCCCATATTTCCCATCAAGGCTTTAAGGCTCCTTTCCCTCTGCCCCCATACATTATTTGGCCAGGTAGACCACTTCTGAAACTCCAAAGGACTGGAGGGAGGGGGGTGGCTATAGAGGTGAATTTTTTATCCAAGCTCTCTCTCTCCCATCAGCTGGAACTTGCCTACCATTTGTGCTGATGCATAACCTCGTTCTGATAGGGAAGAGGTTACATTAAATATCCACATAACACGATCAAACCAGCGGATCAAAAGGCTGAAGCTGTTTTATCTCAGATTAAAAAACAACAACAAAATAGCAACCAAACAAAACCAACCCAAAATCAGAATATGCAGCATAACTTGAGAGGAATCACAGAAACCTCTTTCAAGAAGAAGATCAAATTAAAATTGAGCTCCAGGGTCATAGGACCCTCTCTAGTTGAAGATAATGTTGCTATGCATGAGAGATAGAGGCTATGGAAAATGTCTCCAGGGCCTCCAGCCTTCCTATACTATGTTTAAAGAGATAATCCGCTTATTGCTTTGCTCTTTTTATTAGAAGAGATTTCAAACATGCAATTTGGACTTTCTTTAACCACAGGAAAATACGTTTTCTCTTCCCAGTGTTGAGGAATTCACTTCAGAAAGAGCAATGAATAGGCAGCATGGCTGATTAGACCCGTTTTCCATTTGTTAAGCCATCCCCACAATTATAAATAAATATTTTTGAAGTCAACAATTTTAGAGTTTACTAATGTGACCAGACAACACTTGTGTTCACAGAAGAATTTACGGAGGATTGTACAGGTATAGCGATTCCTTTCCTTAACAAATGTGAAGAAATGATGAGATGAATTATAAATATGTTGCTGATTAGACCCGTTTTCCATTTGTTAAGCCATCCCCACAATTATAAATAAATATTTTTGAAGTCAACAATTTTAGAGTTTACTAATGTGACCAGACAACACTTGTGTTCACAGAAGAATTTACGGAGGATTGTACAGGTATAGCGATTCCTTTCCTTAACAAATGTGAAGAAATGATGAGATGAATTATAAATATGTTGCAGTATGGCAATTTTTTTTAGGAGCTGGTGGATTAGGTGAAAAATGAAAATTTTCAAAACAATGCTGCTTAGTTGTTGTGTTTTGCTTTTTAAATTTTATAAATGCTAAAAACACTGGGTGCTTCTGGAAATTTCCTGGCAAGGATGTCACTTTGCAGTGAATTGATTTCTTTTGTCTGTTACCTTTTTAAACAGTGCATTTCTTACATTTATGCCTGAGCAATTCTATATATTAAGTGGCTGAAGCTGTTTAAAATGAAACATGAGAGGAAGAACGGTATTTGGAATAGAGAAGGCTGTTCTGGAACAGTCAGTGCTAAAGCACTGGAAGAATCACACCAGGTTCTGATCAATTAAGCGAAAAAGTAAAAATTTCCAAGGAACTCTGGCATGTCTGGGGATTTGGGCTGTGCGCCCAAGCTTGCCAAAGTCAGGGCGAGTCGCTGTGTTGATTTCCGCGGGTTTTGGATTGGCCCTGCAAAAGGCAGCTGCGCGAGAAAAGGGAAGTTTCGAAGGAGCTGTGTGTGCAGAAGCTACCATCGCTTCTTCAGCGTTGTGCACCATGGCCAGCCGCAGCGGCATCAGGGTGCTTGTGAGAGAAACACATAAAGCAGGAGGCAGAGAGCAGGGATGTTTTCAGATGGTACGGAGTTTTCCAAGGAGGTATGAGGAAATGCCTTCAGGCAGGAGTAGGAGAGACTGCAAATATAATGTATATAATATTGGTATAGCTACTCTGTAGCAGAGATTTGTTCAGGGAAAAGGCAGTCATTTGGTCTTTTTGTCCTGCCTGGCTGCATGGCCTATGAGAACAGCTGCAGAAAATGAGTATTACTAGCAAGAGGAAAGGAGTTCATTGTTAAGTGCTGAGCAACTGATAAAAAAAAAGAGAAAGTAAGGATCAGCTTGCCAGCTCCGCAAAGTTGAGAGGTGATGACTGGCTTGTGTTCACATATTTTGCTTTAAAATGAATGTTGAGAATGGATTCCTCTTTAAAACTGTGTCCCTAAGGGCCACAGCTCCACTTGCTTCCCGCACCACAGTGCTCTTATGCACAGAGCATGCTCTGAGGTTATGGTGGTATAATCTTTGATTCCCAGGTGTTAAATTATCGCTTTGTATTGACAGGATTTCAGGGAAGTGGAGACCCATTATCAAAGCAAGAAGTGGTGCCAGGTGGAAACGTGGTGCCTGCTGCCTTCTAAAGGAGGTGCTGTGTTAGCACTAGGATCCTTTGCCCTCTCCACCAGGTGTGAGCCATTGGTCCTGAGAGATGCGGTCTATCCCCACGATCTCCCCCCAGCCTCGCTCTGTTGCCTTAGCTGGCATTGCTGCACAGGGTGTTGATGACACTGAGGTCATCTAGTCCCTGTAAAACAACCCCTTCGTGATGCTCGACAGCAAATCCTCGTTTGAGAAGGCAAAAAAAGGGGTGCACTTGAGTGGTTCATTGGTTTCATCCGTTCATGCTGAGAAGCACTTGCAAGGGTACTTGCATGGTTTCTGTTGGATGAAACATGCCAACTCTATTTTGCCTTTATCTGCAGACAAAAAGGCCTTGTGGTGGTGGATAATGACACTGAATTGTATGACCAAGGTGTAGTCCAAACTGTTCTCCTTCATCGCTTCTCTCTCTTCTTCTTTTTCCTTCTCAGGAGCATCACTACTGTTAATCATCTGTATGGCACTGGTGCCTGAAGACCCAGCTAGGGCTGGTTCCTTATCAAGAGAGGGCCTTGACTGAGCAGCACCCAAATGAAATGGTTATTGCTGCTCTGGTTTGCACTGCAGTCCAACCCAGGAGTACCTTGAGGGTGTGCGACTCTGGGCCAAGGGCAGGGGCCTCTTCTTCCTGCTGGGCTGTCTCTTGGAAAGACCTGGTGTTTCTTCCGCCCTTGGCCACGCAGTGCGGTGACCCTGTGAGGCTGGGATTTAGGGAAGGCAGTGAGTGAAGCCACCAGATGGTGCCCTAGGTCCTCTCTGCTCCCTTTCCTGTCCCCTGCCTGCCCACGTGCCCCTGCCAGCTCTCCGGGTAGCTCCCAGACGACAGACTCCCCGGGGTGGACACCTATAGCCATGCAGAACATCCCCAGCCATGACTGTCTTCTACCCCTGGGGTTGGTGCCTCTGCACCCCTCACAGCTCTGTGCCATAGCCCAGGTGCCACCAGCACCTGGGAAGAGATGGGAACAGGACAGGTTCTCCTCCTTTGCATCCATGAAGTCTGGAGAAATAGCTCCACGGGATACCAGTGTCTTGTCACAGCGCTGCCCATGTGAGGGACAGGAGAGTGGCTGCTGGCCCCATCATTGGCATCTGAAATGCAAAACTGGCCGATGTCAGGGGCTGCTTGGAGCTGCCACCACTTACTTTCACCGTTTGGAAATGGCATCTTATACTTAGTTTGGGAAAATTCACTGTGTATCAATGGTGAAAAAATCCCTTGCGGCACATGCTGCTCCTCTTCTTTGCTGTGTCAGGAAGTAAGGCTCAGGTACCTCTCTTCCTGTGTTTTGGGATTCTGTTATGGTCAAGATTTGCTATCCATAGTGACATATGATTAAGAGTTTATAAATGAAAAAGGAGTGGGCCAGAGCGCACCAGTGACTACCTGATCTACCAGAGGAGAAGGTGAACCTTCAATGTTCCTTCCCTTGCTTGATGCTAGGGCAAACCAGTCTCCACATACTGTCAGGGAGAAAATGTTTTTCCAAGTTCACGTTAAAATAGAAATGCAGGTTACTATTAGTAAGTAGTATGTTACTAGGTACTTCACTATTAATAACCAGGCCTTCCCGCTGCCGACCCGCTTTACGGGTTGTGGATCTGCAAGGTTCCCAGCACCAGTGCTGCAACGACACAGCCACCTGAGGACCAACTGCGATGGCGCTTTGACCATACCATGCAAGTTCCCGTGAGAAGTGACACAGGAGGGCAAGTCGTCAGCTCTTGAGGCGAGGGACCTTTAGGCAGGAGGAGAGGGCTGCCACG